TAAAGCCATGACATTATTTGAATTGCTGATATTTTACAGCTGCACGAGTGTATAGAATGCTTTGGACTCCAAAGCATCCCTAGAGTCAATGGCAAATAGCTATCTCGCTGAACTAGGAGTATGGCTTCATAAAAATCAACTGCAACTAAATTCTAAGAAAACCAAGTATATAATTGGAGGCAGAGGCAAAAAATACGTCGGTATCATCTGCGTATATAATATTTCTTGAGATTTAGGAGTAGCAGTAATGTCATTTATATAAAGGAGGAACAACAAGTGGCCTACGATAGAACCTTGGGGGCAACATATTATACTTCCAACGTGGTTGAGACAGAGATGTTAACTTTGACGAATTGAAGGCGATTTGTTAGATAATGTTTTATGAAAGCCAAAGCTACTCCTCGTATTCCGTACAGTTGAAGTTTACTTAGCAAAATTTGGTGTTGAATCGTGTTGAAAGCTTTTTTAAAGTCTAAAAAAACTCCGAGTGTGTATAATTTATTTTCCATGTTGTATATTATTTTATCTTTCGTCTCAACAAGTGCCTGCTCTGATGATTTGCCACTTTGGAAGCCAAAAAACTAATATAATCGGCTTTGTATAACTCCCTCAAATATTTTCAAAAATATTGGCAAGACTGATATTGGTCTATAATTTTGTAGATATGGTTTACCTCCTTTAAAGACAGGTGTTCATAGTTATCCCACATTTCAGACGTCTTGGGAACCATCCAGCAGGGAGCTTCATATTTGTCAAGTTTTTACAGCGGAGCTGTTAAGAGCTAGGGTTCCCCAGGATCGTGTCCGGTACCAAAGAAATGTCGACGCAAACCTACACGAACTTATGGACAGCTACCGCCATCTATAAGCGACGGCGTCAACCAGTCTGGTTACCGCTATCGCTCATAGATGGCGGCTACCTTTCCAGATATCATAGAAGAATGGATAGTTGGGCGAGTTGGTGTGAATTTATCGTAGGACACAACGCGAAAAACAGACGAGGACGAAGAAAAAACACACGTCACGAGCGCAGCGCACGTCACGTGTGTTTCTTCTTCGTCCTCGTCTGCTTTGAGCGCTGTTTCCTACGCTCTTATCAGTTTCGGTTTGGACTCACGATGCGTCGGCCGCGTGCGGTTCCTTCGGAGAAAGGAGACCGGGTGCGGAAGGAGCGGCGACGTACGCAGCAGCGCGAATGGGTCCGCAACCGCCGCGTGCGTCGAGCGCTTCAGATTCCCTTGCGCAAGACGTGCAGATCGCTCGCCTGAAAAGCCACCGCCAAGTGCAGAAGCTACAGCTTCCCTGCTCTTCCTTCTTCACCAGAGTGAAAAGCCTGAAAGTTTTGATACAACTCATCAGGGCTGGAATATTGCACATTTGAGCTAAAACATTTTATGATCACCATCCTGTCTAACTTTATAACTAAAAATTGAAGTCCTCCAATCACATAAATATGTACAAAGTTTATTTAATAACTGTCTCGTGGAACAATTAAGCAACCAACAAGTTTCAAAGAAAACTATTCTTCATGTTCCAAAGGACAGTAAGGTAAGTGCTCTCTGGAGGCCTGGAAAGCACTTCCCATTCTAACGTTTTGAAGGTTTCAGTTCCTAAGAAAAGTAAAAGTTTTAATCGGTAAACATTCCCCAAACCCTACAAACCAAGAACTCAGCCCCCTCAACCAAGAGTCCATCAGCGACATCATCGTGTAAACGGCGCATGGGTTGGTGCGACGATGAACGCCACACAAGTGCCGCGTGAATGACGTGTACTTCGCAAAAAGGAGGTTCCCCTGGAGGTTACCGGTTCCCTAACTTTGTTTCAGAACCAAAGAATAATAAAAGGCGGGTACGCGCACGTCCGGAGACCACGTGTCCCACGGCGTAGTCACAGAAGTTCCCCTGAACACTTGCCGCAGCGTTGAATAATGACTTGAAATTACGGATTATCTTTACTATTCATGGCAATGCTCGGTTGTAGATGCCGTCGGAAACATAGACAGCCTCGGCAATTCTCTCTGCGAAGGTGTGGTAAGTCTTATATGTAAATCCGATATGTAAATCTGAGGAACGCTCGGATAGTTGCTCCAAGCTCACGGCCCTCTTTTACCTCAATAAAAACCGCGTTCTTTTTTTTTTTTTTATTACGAGAAACGCAATTGAACTGATAACAACCTAAAATAAAGTATAAGAAGAAGCGAAATGCGAAACACTCATCGAAGAACATATTCCAATCCCCCGTACACGAAGTGCCTGCATATCCGACAATCCTATGCCTGATGTTACGTCACGCGTAACGGCAGGTTGTCAGCCATTGCCACTGGCGAAATTCGGGGTGCAGTTTCGTACACACGTTCATGAGTAGTTTAATTAATATCCGGACATTATATATCAAAATAAAAATGACATTTGTCTATATGGAGGCTCCCTAGACCTAACGACCGCAAGAACTAAAGTACTTCCAGTTTAGACCGGACAATTCCTTTAAGAAACCGATTTTTGCGCTCGATTTAAAAAAAAACAAACAAAAAAACACCTTGCCGCTATTTGAGACACCCTGTAGAATTTGCCACCTAAGGCGAATATTCCAAAAGTTAATTAGTAAATCTTAGGTAATTAGTTCTTTAATTACCACGTTACACTCGTAGCCTGACGTTTGCGGCGGTCGATAATGTTATCCCGAAGTAATAATCTCTTAATTTCATGCGCAATTTTTCTTTTCAATGATTCTGTCGTTGGGTGAAACACCCTGAATAACCAAATTATCTGTGCCATAAAGTGGTTAGGTACGCTATTACCATAACTAATTACCGTAACACTATTACCATAACATATTAACATAACTAATTTATTAAAATATGATTTCGCTGCTCCAGCCTCTGACAGTTCATTATTAGCTTTCTTGGTGAAGCTGCAGCTGAAGACTCGGCAATGAATTCCCGAAGATGTGTAGTGCTCGATCGCCCGTTATCGCAGTACGGCCGTGGTGTAAACCCAGGGACGTTGCCCAATGTTCCAGTTAACTGCTATAACAGCAAAGATCTTTGTCCCACCTGCTTCCTCTTTCTCAACTAGAAGGAACATTGAGAAGTAGCGATGTGCACAATTATCCTCCAATAATAAAAACTTCTCTTAAAGTTTTTTTTTTTTTTTTTTATTTGAGGGGGGGGGGGGGGGGTGCAAGCGCACGTTTGCATCTACCGCACGAGCATGGAGCGCTTTTGGATCGCTTCAAACCCACCAGGGGATTCCGCATAACGTCTTACGGAAAGTGCTCACCTCCTGTGGCCATACCTGAGAAGCGTGCTGCTCCCTCTGCACCGCTGCTGCGCGGAGCCGCAGCAGCGGTGCAGGCCGCACCATGATGTACCGTCGGAGTGCACTCCTCCTGTATAAAGCTGTCACGTGCCTAGCTTCGTCGTTATAATGGGCTAGGCGTCTGTGTGTGTGTGTGTGTGTGGGGGGGGGGGGGGGGGGTATCTTTTGCCCTTTGCCAACTGCTGAAAGATGCGTGCGGCGTCGCGCAACCCCGCTGTTCCGTTTCCCTGCACGACAGCGCTGCAAAGGGAGCAGCACGCTTCTCAGTTGGGCTACCGCTGGGCAAGCTGCCACAGTGGCAGCTTGCCCAGCGGCGTAGCCAAAGTCCTAGCCAATCGAGCTGTGTAAAACGTAACACGCGGCTATGCTTTCTGCGCGTCACGGCGCTTCCTCTCGAAGGTCTCGAGAAACTCACACTGCTTTGGGTTGGCTCCGATGGCTCGTAGCATCTTCTGCGGCCAGACTTCAGGCAAAATCTACACACTTCGTCGCGGGGAAGAGAAACCAGGCGAAGACACTGGGGCGGTGCTGCGTTCGTTTTGTTCTATGTGCACGTCGTCTCCGGGGTTTTCCAAATGCGAGCTGTTCTTACCCGATGGGGATCGTTCTTCTCATTTTTGAGCTACTCTGTTGCCCAGAAGGTTAAGCATAAACAACGCGGTCATCACGAAAATTATTAATATATTTCTCAATTCTTGTAAAGTATCGGTCTCCTATGAAATTGCTGTTTCTTTTATAGTTTTAGAATGTATAGTTTTACGTACGTTTGGTATTTTTAAGCAGGGGTATTGGAAAGAGAAGTTTAATATTAATTTTCTTTGAAATAAAATAACAAACAAAAGAAACAACTAAGATTAGATATTCCTGGACCGTTTGTCCCCACTTCCATCCTCCTCCTCTCCCCTCCTCCCTCCCCCCCCCCCCCCCCCCCCCCCCATAACAACCAAATTTCTGATACTGCCACTGAGCAGCCTTGTGTTACCGTTACAACTGAAACTGAGACAGAGCCAAATATGCATGGCCTTGTGGACAGGTTTTAAGGGGTGTCCACACAGAACACGGTTCCCTCCTACCTTTAAAGGGACACGATTTTGTACCCCATAGGTGTACCTAGAGCCACTAAATGAGCTACGCTCTTAGAGTATCGGCACTCCGTTCCCCGATCTGCTCGTGTGCGCCGCCATCTTGGTGCTTAGTGCGGAGCAGACACAAGTGTCGATCGTCACAATTCAAAAACGCGACTTGCTCAGTTTTAGATGCGGTGTTCGGAAGCTCGAGGAATGTCGTTTTGCTCTGTCGCGAACTGTCTTAATGTTTCTGGAGGACGGAAAAGCGTTTTCAGTGATTTCTGAAAAAAGCTTCAGATAACTGTCCATCACAATTTTGAGCAGCAAGAAGGCTGAAGTGTCGTTACTCTAAAGCGTAGCTTATTTAGCGGCTCTAGCTTTACGCACGCAAGGCTTCCCGCCGGATCCGCCTTGCCGCTCAGCCGCTTCGCACGCGCTCCCTAGAGGCGCCAAATCGTGACCGCTAAAAGTCGGAGGGAGTCGCGTTTTCCGTGGGCTTCATGCCGAAATGCGCAACGCGGCCGGATATTGTGAAGTGTGACAAACATGTGGTGGACGGGCGACGTCGAAAGTGCACAAGGAAAGGGACATTGTTTCGAAGAATCAGACAGAGTACGTGAACACGACTTCGTTTTTATTCACACAAATTGACAACACGTGTATTACAACAGGATGGGTGCTGCCACTTTCGACTTTACGTTTCTTAAATCTAGTTTCACATCGCTGATACCGCCGTGGCGAAGGGACAGCAGAGCACCATTCTGCACCCAAGGATACGGTGCAGAATCATCACCGACTCAACGAGAAAAGGAGTTGTGTTTTCTTTGTTCCTAATAAAATGGCGTCATACGATCTACACAGCTATCTCGTCATAAATCTACACAGCTCATTCCAAAACAGCGCTTTTGATTGATTGGAAACTGTCGCTCTTTCAGCGGGACGCCTTGCGGTTGAAGAGAGCCTTAGATCGACAACCGCATTCTCCAATGCATTTTGAAGATTACCCGAATGCCCGTCAAAATGGTCGCGTTCCATCGCCGGTATTGTACAAAGCTCAGCTTGCCAAAGGTTATGAAGGAACCCAAGTGCACTTCTGGCTGGCTTCCTATCTACAGTAAGCACAAACACTTTTGGAAAAAAAAAAAGATGCAGGCAATACCAGGAGTACAGGGGGAATCGGGTCTGCATAAAACATCTCTTTTTCTTTATTAAGGAATGCGTAATAAGTGAATCACTTCAATCCGCGGATGTACCTCCGCGGCGCTCAAACATCAATCTAAACAATGTGGATGCGTCGAACGCTCAAATGTGTCGAGTCATCGCGGTCATGTCAGAATACCAAAAAGCGTTGGTGACGAGGCTACTGCCCCATACCTGCCAGGATTGCTGAATAGTTACTTTAGCCTTGCATTTAACGAATCATTGGACATTGTCAGTAAAAGCTTGCTTTCTGCTGCAGCCCACGGAAGCGTCACGCGAGCTCGTTGTAATTTGTGTCTAAAACAGACCTGGCTCCTGTATTAAAGTTTATCCGGCTAAAGGCCAAAAAAATAACTTGAGGATTTAGAGAGAACAAGGTGCTCGAAGCCACTTATTGCTTCCGATTGTCTTCAACTCACGACAGGTGTATACACAGTGAGAAAAGTTTTGGAAGTTCCAGCAGTTATAAAATAGCAAGTATATTTGCCCTTGACAGGTGGATTACCTGTTTACATAAAGGCAACTACGACAAACAAAAATGATCGCGTTTATGTAAATCTACGCGCTTTAAGAACTATGGGGCCACACACGCTGTTGTTTAACGCAACAAGTAAATTGCGGCTTCGAAATTGTCTCTGCGCCACTTAAAAGAAGAAGAAACAATGACTGCGCTATCTCTTTAACCGTAAAGCGTTATCGGTCATCATGGAACGGATACTGTACTTTGAAACTGAAGCTGCAAACGAACAATCGAACAGGGTGCTCTTATGACGCCGAAAGTAACCAGTGGCGAGCTAGCTAACAAGTCTGCTTGTGCCGACCGCTTAACGAAATGGTTACACGTGTCACTTCTTGTACATTACTTTCAGGTCTTGTGTTCGCGTGGCATTACCTCAGCTCAGCACGCTGCTTCCCACTTAACTGGGATCAGAAATTTCGTCGAAAAAGTGCTGATGGAGCTTCACAAGGAACATTCGTGTCGAGTGAGAAACAATGAAGGAAAAAGTCCGTTTGTGCGACGTTTCGTGGAATACTGAGAAAAATTGTAGACCTTCGCGCCAGGCAAACACTGTTCGCGATAGTGATCTTACATTCGGTATTAAACAACAATTCTTAGTGCAAAGTTGAAGAGTAGCAACATGGTGTGATTCTACATGTTGATTAATGAGTGCGTGGGACTGACCAAAAAACGGATCACAAGGAAGCTGCTGCCAATAAAAGAACAAAACTAGCGCGTTCATCAACACTGTAAATAGATTCGAACCAGTTCCGACAGGAGTTTTTGTAGCATGCAATCTAACGGTATAGGGTCTAACAAAATTCGCTCAAACAATCGTGGCCCGACCGTGTAGGGTCTGGTCGAACGTATTGAAACCCGTGTTGCAAGGCTCTGCTGTTCTCTTGTGGTCAAGACAACCGTGCCGAGAGAACACTTGCTCGATAATGTAACAACAGACCGCGTCCTGGTAGCTTTGCTTAACAGCTTTAAACAGGGAGGTTCAGACTAGAAGACACCCGACTGCTCTCGGTTACTAAAGACAGCCGGCAGGGGTAGCTCGACACGCACATCGAACACCTTCTAAACCATGAGGCGCCGGCGCTGAACGTCATGGCGTCACCAGGTCAGTGAAATCTGAAGGATGACTGGCTGAGTACTGCAACGACGCGGAGTTCAATTTGACTGTACTAAGCGGGCTTCACCAACACCATATATAATCATCAAAGCCTGTAATCAGCTTCCTTTACCTCTGTGTAGCGTCATCAAGTTAGGATGGTGCTACGCTAAGATGGTCAACGCCATACGACGAATTGATTTGGCAGAATTTTGTCTAATCTGTGTCTGTTACCAATCCGATTATGATTGCGTAAAAATTCTAGTGCACGTGATTCGTTTATTTTAGGAGGTATTGGGGCCTCACACCCTGGAAGCTTTGTGACACCACGACCCTTAGAACGGAGGCCTCGTGGTCTAGGGAGCATTGGCTCAGTGCACTCTTAAACACGCTTAAATGAGAAACGTGAAAGAGACGTTTATGCCATCAACGTGGATGATCTGCCCAAAACGCGCGCTGCGTTTAGACACATTGGTTGGCATATGGCTTCCGGAGTATGCCCGGTCGAAGTACGCGTAGAGCCGTCGGATATGCGAGGGAAGAGACTATTCGTGGTTTCGGGAGAGGGGGGAGAGTTAGCAGAACGGCCGGCGTTCGAATGAAAGCATCTCGGATGTCGGTCAGTCGAGAAGAAGAGTAGACTGTGCGTGCTCTTGTACGTGAGTTTGGTATTGAAGGGCATGTAAAAGGGTCGATGTACTCTCACAATTCGTAATGGTATGATAATGGAGCAACCGGGAAGACTGCAAACCAAAAAGTATCACACCATCTGTTTTTCTTGGGGCATTTTTTTAAACATCATCATCGCTTTAGGGTTTATGAAACAAGAATGACTAAATATAGACACGACGCACCGATGAAACTAAAGTCCTCCTGCCTAGAAAAGTAAGGAAGAACCGATATTTGGGCTTTGCAAAATATTGGGTCTGGTCGTTGGCTTTCGGTCCTTTGCCGATCCAGAATTACAGAATCAACACGACGCTCAGATGTCCTCATGAGAACGTATGAAAAATGAAGTTGGCACAGAATGATAACACTGCAGGTGGTGTGCTTCCGTGCTGAGGAACTGCACAGGAACTGCTAGGAAAAAAAGATACAATTCCTGAATTCGCACGTAATGTTTGGTGTGGATAAGAGAGTGGACAACACATTGTTCTGGCATGTTTCATATTAAAACTATAACGCTAAAAATTAAGCAATCTATGTTGACTTTGAAAAGTGAAAAACATTTGCGTGTTAGATTTTTTCCTAAATCATGAAGACGTTTGTCGGATGAATAAATAAAGAAGCACAATTACTAGCAACTAATCTGTGTTGCTCTTATTCTTTTGAAAGCCCGCGTACTCAACCGCACGGGTGGGTGTAGAAACCACAAAGTCACCAGGAGAAGTGTTCAGCTTGTGACTGGCCTGACTAGGGCCTTGCTGGTATGGTGTGCCTCAAGAGAAGAGTAAAGAATGCCGTGTGCAGCAATGGTCGCATCCACGCGCCATAAACGTGCATCGACCGTTCGCAGCCCGTGACAACGAAATCAGTAAAGACGGCGAGCCCTTGCACCGGCAGCTAACGGCCCCGACCTTCGCTAAACAAACAGACCTTTCAGCGGAGTGACGAACGTGGTCAATACTGAACGCTCCAAAAAGGGGGACTTTTCAAGAACCACCCCATCGACACAGTCTGATGAACACACTTTCGGAACAGCAACAGCCAAGACGCCAGCGCTCTCCGCCTCAAACTGTCCTCACTTGCCGTACTCGGGCTAGTGCAAGAGAAAGAAAGTGTTGGTGCTCTATGCCATACAACGTCGTCGTCGTCCCCGATGACTACGCACACCCGTACAGTGATTATGCGGCGTCTGCAATGAAGCCATTTCTGATTAAATTTTGCCTCCTTCGCCTGGACTGATTTGGACGCCATACTTTGGAGCCAATTAAGCGAGCGAATCGACGTTCCGATCCTGGAAATGATGTACAGGGGCGGCCATCACAAGTTGGTGAGTCTGTACCGGCGTGCGGCCAGTCGGAAAGAGTCAGTGGGAAGCCATACGGTATATAAACCACCGCGTGTAACGCGCCAGTGTGCCTCGTTACAGGTAACGAAGCGGGTCGTCGGCGTCCTCCGTTTGGGGGGCGGGCCGCTGCCGGGGGCGGCGGATGACTGCAGGGGGCGGCCGCGTTCACAGGATGTCCGTCTCGTAGATCTTGGCTCCCGAGCGCAGGAGCGCCGCTGCGGCGCCGGGGCTGGCCGACGGCGGAATCGCCAGGTGGGTCAGCGAGCCCGAGGCGCTGGCCATGGCGAGCGAGGCCTTGTGCAGGATGTTGCTCTCGCTGCCGGTCTTCTTGAGGTCCGGCTTGGGCGGTGACAGGCGCTGGAGCAACTGCAGCCTGGCGTACTGCTCCTGCAGCTGGCGCTGCTTGCGGAGCAGCTCCTGGTGCCGCGAGTCGAGCAGCTCCTGGCGGCTGCGCCCCTGCAGCCCCTCCTGCGAGTTGACGCTCTCGCTGCTGCTGCTGTTCGAGGAGAGCTGGTCCCGACGGCCCTCCTCGCAAGCCAGCGCGCTGGTGCGGACCGGTTCAGAACGGCTACGCTGTGGGCCAGTCGGCGACGTGACGGGGGACTTGCTCGTCGTGCGCGGGGGAGGCGGCGGCGGCGTCTTCTTGCTGCTGGCTTCGACCGCCCGCACGGGCGACTCAGCCGGGCGCCGCTTGTCCTTCGAGAAGGTCTGCAGCTCGTCCAGCAAAGCGTCCAGAGCGTTCTCCGAACGCCCCGCGGGGCTGGCTCCGTCGCCCTCCACGCTCTGCAACGGAACAGGGGCATCAGCGCCCGCGACCCTTTGGCGAATCGCGCCCGAAGATAGCACGCGGCTACGTTAGCGCTTTTCCCCAACTAGTGCATTTAGGACGTGAGCAACCAAGGGAAGCGTCTGAGTCTGTGCTCCCCAAAGATATCTTTGTTCTCTACTTCAGTTCAGCGTAAGTTCAGACGCAGCCGACGCTACAAGGTAATAGGACCAATCAAGCCACAAGGCCTTTTGTGCTAATGATTGGTTCAGCGATGGTAGAACGCGTACAGAAACGTTAAGAACACCATGATGGTGAGCTTCTGATGCTGCTTGATTGGTCTTATCAGCTTGTAGCCTCGGCTGCGTCTGGACTTAGGTAAAACGAAGTGCAGTCCTTACGGCACGCGTCGCAAATGACACAAACGAAATGACTCAATCATTTAAGGAGCTTTCTTATGAGAGCTATTGGGCTGCGCTTCACGGGATGTTTGTAACAACTCCAGAGCGCTTTTTAATTGCGTTCGTGGTGAGATAGAGAAATGATTTTATTGAGGGTCAAACAAAGACCCTAGAGGTGCTTCTCCGGTAAGCAGACCAAAGCCAGCTGATCGATATGAGCCGCCGAGGCCAGCCACACCCGCCAGTGTGGAGAAGGGGGGTTGGGGTGGCGGGGAGATCGGGTGGCTGCGGGACAAGCGGACAGGAGATGCTCAACGTTGCCCCTGCCCATATATAGGGGCAGGGGCAATTGGGACAGGAGGGATCTGATCTGAAACGATAGAAGAAAAGTCGGGCGGGGGTGATGAGTGTTAAGCTGGATGGCTCTCAGTGCGTGCGTTTGTGAGGTAGTAAGCTGGGGGTTTGGTGTAGGCCGTGTCTGCATTGAGTGTCAGAGTTGTGCGTAGTGTTGCTTCAGGGTCTTCTTGTAAACATGTGTCTCGTCCGCCATGGGTGGGAAAGGCCATGGGACCACCGGCGCCCGGATAAGAGCCTCGCAGACAAGTTGATGAGCCAACTCATTACCGGCAATCCCTGTGTGGCCTGTCACCCACACCACCACGACCGAGGCAGGGGAAAGTTGTAAAAGGGCGGAGGAGAGGTCGTCGCACAAATCCTCGGGAATTGCCCGAATCGTTTCCATGGAATCGGTGCAAATGCGGTAATGGAGAGCAGGCGAAAGGGAGGTAAGTTCTTAAGTCGCACGCACTATGGCAGCAATCTCGAGAGCGAGCGGTGAAGCTGGGTTGGTACAGGGGCCAGCGGTGGACGTAATGGGAGGGGTGGCGGGGTGCGTCACGCTGACACATGTGGCGCTGAGAGGAGGTTAATGGGAAGCGTCCACGTAACATGTGGTAGTTTCGCGGTGATGCTCCGCTGCATAAGGTCAGCTTTTTTCAGTCGGGCTTTTGCGGCCTGTTCAATCGTAGCGATGGTTCGAGTTGCTAGTGCTCCGCTTAGCAGTATACCTTTTTCACATCAAAACGATACCAAGCGGAGCTAGGTCGAAGTGCGATTGGTGTCCTAAAGGGTAGTTGCGCTACCTCTCCTTCCTTCATGGCGACTGAATCGAGGAGGAGGTAGGGGAGGTATAGTGCAACTCTTCTTGCGGACGCCAATCGCACTTCGAGCTTTCGCCGCTGCGTAAGGAGGGCCTTCCATCTGTAGAACTGCTTTTCAAAAAGGTCTAATGCTTCCGTTTATTATCTACGCCCACAGAAAGAATGGGTACATTCTTACACCCCTTTTCCCATTTAAGACACTCGAAAACTTCAATTCGACGTACAGCGCACTGACGTCGGACCGACGGTACCAACCTTCACGACCGGCTTGATAGCAGAGTGGTACAACTTAATAAAATAGATAATGTATGTGTTACACACTACAAATAAAAAAAAAATCGTTTTTTTTTTTGCTTTACTGCAAAACCTCGGTTCTTTTTTTTTATGTAGTCTTTTATAGTACTTTAACTGTTTAATAAGTTAAATCGCACCGTTATCAGGCCCTTCCTAAAAGTTGGGGCCTTCTGTTCGACGTCAGCGCGCTGTACATCGAACTGAAGTTTTGGAGTGCATTATATGTAGGGTTGTTCGTTTTCGGGTTTTATATTTTTCTAAATTCGGGAGGTAAAAATCGGGTGCTATTTTTCAGGCTGATAATCGGGGAGAAATTGGGTTTTTTTGAGGAAACATTCGGAAATTCGGGTGTTTTCGGGTTAAATACACGGATGTACTTAATAATACATTAGTTGTTTTTTTTGTTATTGGAGGGTATTACGAGCTGTTTATTGCTAATGCGTTAAAATTAGGGATGTGTTTTAAGCTGGTAAAGGGGGGGGGCATGAGGGTTTTCCAGCTTCGACTGCCGTCGGTCGCTTCAAGGGAAGTACCGCCCAAGGAATCCTCCTCTCTCTCAGGTGCCAACGAAAATCCCGACCGTTCGAGGGACGGTCGTTTTCGATCAGGTATTTCGCTATGAAATAAACTTGTTAAGTTTTCCTGATCTGTTTACGCGACTGACTGGCTCGAACGTTGTTCGTGAGAAAGGTTGGACGTCAGCGCGATGGCCATGCTACCCGAGAGACCCTGTTGGGCGTCGACACCTCAGCGATCGTAGGGGGATTGATAATGCATTTCACAAGCTGCGTGCAGCAGGGCTGAAGCTACGTGGCGTGCCGAGGCGGTTCCGCATGCACAGCGGGGGGACGGAAATGTCCCTCCGAGGCCCCAACGCTTTTCCTCAGCCGGCCTCCGTAGGATGCCACGGTGAGTTAGGCGCGCTCGTTGGGCGGTTGGTTGAGAGCCGTGTAGCGTCCACAGTGCTGCACGCAGCTTGCGAAATGAACTACAGGTCACTGTTGTCCCGAAGTAGGGTAGATAGCGTGTGTGCACGGCAAACTCCGTGCGGCGTAAAAATAAAGAGGTTGGTTATGTGGTCTTGGAATTCGGGGAGAAATCGGGTTTAACCCGATTTTCCTGAAACATGTTCGGGGTGTAAAAATCGGGTAAAATCGGGTAAAAATCGGGGAAAACGAACAACCCTAATTATATGGGACAAAAGGGTGTAAGACGACACCCTTCTTTTTTAGAGTGTAGGTTACTCGAGTCCACGTGGTCGTTTCACTGGCAGTCAAAGAACCATGAAGCGAACGAGAATCAAGCGCGGCCGTGTTCGAACAGGTGCGCTCTATGAATAACATCTAGAAACGCGGCAGGAATACGCGGTAATAAATACTTTCTGGGCCTGAATATTGGGAACTAAACAAAGTGCCGACAGAAGGATGGGTATTTTACGCTGTCTAGGACGTAAGTCCTGAGAGATGCGACATGAGGAATACTCATTAATCCAAGTTCAGTGGTAGCAGCATGGGACCCGCAAATGCATACACGCCTCCCACGGCCGTGACTTCTCTAAAAGATCTTGGCGGCCCACGCCGTATTTTTTTGGTGTAGTTAGGTCACATTGTAAGACTTGTCATTAATGGCCAGGTATACGAAAGGAAGACACGTGCCAGCAGAATGCAGAGTGGAAGGACGCATCGTAAAGGTACAAAATAATCATAATGAAGAAGCTCAGTGCAGCGCGCTAATCGCAGATACGGGTAGTTCCCTAGCATTCGCGGCAAGAGCTCCAGAGAGCTCTCATTGACTTCCGTTTCGTTCCTAAATGCCATACGTTATGCACATAAAATCAAGCTTGTGCAATCTTACACATACGGCTTCAGTTATCGTTAGTAACGTCTGATTTAAGTCTAGGAGTATATTTGTACATTTTAGACGGTAGAAGTACAGCAATTTCATAACAAAACATACGGTTGCTAATTAGTGTAACCAGAGTTGATAGCTCAGTGCTCAAAGTGATTACGAACCTTTTTCATGACCGTTTAGATTGATTTTCGAACTGCTCATTACGTCGTTTCCGCTACATCACAGTCCTAACTCTCGAACTAATTGTGGCTACACTCATAATTCTTTGCATGTTCTATTGGTATGATGATCTTGAAAAAGTGCACGTGTAGTTTAAAAAAAAAAAAGTACAATTTCTAACGATTCATGAACAACGATTTGCGTCTGATAAAGAGTTGGCACGTGTGTGCAGACGATTAAAATAACCCAAGACGCCATTTTCTCGGTGCTCCCGAACGAATGTTCGTGCGTATTGCGAGGTCATGGTGTCCGCCACTCCCAGAGGACAGCGATAGCGTTTGATCAATGCTCACAGATGTCGCGTAGTAAGCGAGATTATGGTTGAAAAAGTTCACGAGTTTTCTCTGTCTAGTAGATCTTTTCTGCGTTTCTCGGAGTCAAACTACTCCGATAACTGGGGAGGTTCTGCGCTTTCTGCCTCTGAACAGCACCATACAATACATATACCACCCACCACGTGACAACGACTTACGTGACTGATGGAGTCCCTTTCCGTTCACCGATGTCTTGATACGCCTTTTCAATGCACCTTTTAACTTTGAAGGCCAATCAACATCCCGAAAAAGAACAAATTTATCTATTCATTCATCATATACTTTCCGCTAAATGCAGCTCCGTCAAATGTTGCTTTTCGGAGGCTTTCTAACCTTCTTTCCCATTTGATCAGTACGGTTTATTTATCTGCCTATTTTGAAGGTTTCAGATAGAAATATATTTGAAAGCTGGCTCAACATTTTCTAATAAGTTTACTTATTAGAAACTCTTGAATCTTATATGCATGCGACCGAGTGCACAGCGCCACTGTTCGGGTGAACACGACATCAACGCCTTTTCGCATTTTATAAATTACGTGAAAGTATTGAAGAACATATTTTACCACCCGTACTGGTGCCCCTCATAAGCAAATTTCATTACACAAAAAAGTTTTGATCACAGCGTTCCGACTGTGCAAAAAATGTGAAAAAAAAAATCTTTCGTTTATGGTAACTGCGTCGCATTTTATACGTGTAAACAAACAAAACGATGTAAACAAAAAACAACATAGATGGTTGATAAATTTTCACATGATACATTAGTGATGCCGTTTTGAAG